TGAACCGCGAGCTAAAGAAAAATATCAATTAAATTCAAATTAGCGCTCCCAGATAGTCAAAACGCCGGCGTGTTTACAACACGGGCACAAACATCACCTCCGACACCGTACCTTCCTCCCGGATACTTGGGAGTAGTCAAACATCATCTGGTGTGGAGAATATCACACGTTATCTCAATCAAACATTAAGGCCATTCTAACGCCTCCCGTGTATAATTACAAGCCACGGAGGCGAGCGCCTGCCTCTGGCTTGGGAAGCCGTTGCTGCCGGCGAGCACAGGCCGGGCGCCGCTGCTGACTAAACCGCTCTGTGTCTGTGCGCCGTCCCTTCGGCTTCCGCCCCACCGCATTAGGAGACCGAAGCTTGCCTGCAAGCAGCGCCCACCGAAACAGAGCTGGGGGTTCCCATCCGGAGGGCTCTCAGCTACCGGTACGGAGCGCACGCGTATGGAAAAGGGAAGAGACATTCTCCTTCCCCCTGCCTTGAAGCGCACAGATTTTATGCATTCAATCAGATTTTTCAGTTCTGCATTTCAGCAGCTTTCTTGGCAAGCTATGGTTATTTCATCTTTCCAGGGAAACCACAGTTTGCTCCTACCTTCTCCTATGCAGAATTTCAATTGCGCAGGCTCCAAAGGGCCGTACATTACGTTTTCTCCGCTAGACAGAGGCCGACATCGCTACCGCAGGCAAGCAGAAACGCTCGCCCCGACGCAGTCGTGTTAGCAGGGCGTCGCTGAAACCTCGCTGGAAGAGCAATCGCTCCTGGCGTACAGGGGACGTTCGACGCAGGGTGTGAGGTTAACAACCACCTATTAACCAGTATTAATCTAGCGCCACGTTACCAGGCCGCGGCTACCTCTAGCACGGGTGCAAGTTCCGCCCCCCCCAGCAGCAGGCACTGGAAAGCAAAGCCTTTGCCCCTTTACACCGATGTGTCTGAACGGACAGCGGGGCTGCTGATGCCTCGTTAAGGCAACGCTCGTGCCAGGCGCGCCCCGTTAACGGGGAAGGGGAAGAGGGGGTACGGCTGCCGCCCGTGCCGAGGCCCAGGCAGCGCCCCCAGCAGCGCGGGGCAGGGGACAGAGCAAGGTTTGCCCGCTCGGCACCAGAAATGCCCGCTGAGACGTGCTGCTTGGGCCATCGGCCTCGCGCACTGCTCCTCCTCACGGCCGAGGCGGGCTGTGCCCTGGCACTGCTGCGGCCGGCCGAGCCCTCCGGTCCGCTCCCGTTGTGCCTCGCCAGCAGCGCTGCTCACGGAACAGCCTCCAGCCTCCCCACAGGCCGTACAAAGATCTTTCTGTTTCGATAAAAACAACCGCAGCCTGCTCGTTTAAATTGCTTGCGTCTTGTTTCCATTACTGCTTCCCCTGCTCGCATTCGCCCACACCGTCCCTCTCCCGAGCCCGCCGAGCGTCAGGCTGCCCAGCCAACCTGCAGCGCCGGGAATGGAAAATGCTTCGGCTTTATTAATCAAAATGCCACTTAAATAAATTATAGCTAGCAAACTACCTCTGGCTACGGGGTAGGACGCTGCCAGTTTACCCAAAAAGCGAGGCGGCTGCAGCGTGCAGCGCCGGCAGCGCCCGGCCGTGGGCGAGAT